GTTCTCTTTAATATTGCTCGTCACAAAGAGGAAGGAAAGTCCATAACTCACGATCGAACCGAAACTGAAAATAAAACTCTTTAATATTACGAACTAACGAACTAACAGGTGATAAATGCTGACAAATAATAAATGTTGATAAATGCTAACAAGTGATAAATGCTGTCATTCTCAAGATAAATAATCTTTACAAAGGAATGCAAATTCGTCTATTGTCCTAAAAATAAGAATATCTTTTCAAACCGTGATTAACACTTTTTTTGGTTTTTATTTTCTATTTTCCTCATTTATATTTTCAAAGTTCATTTTTTAGTTCGGAAACATTCACATAATTAAATATTTTACCCTCAAATGTTAAAACATTTGACTTTGGTTTAATTAAAATTAATTTAGTTTAATAAAATTATATATAATTTTATACAATTAATTTAATATAATAATTAATTTAAAATATTTCATTTGATCGCATTAATCCTTACTGCTTGGCACATTAATTTATTTATGCTGAATAATATTGCCGTTAATTTACTATTGCGTTTTGCTGCACAATTATACATGTTTGCAAAAGAAAGAAATGCATCAATTTTGCATTCCCTTGTAGCCTTCGATATGATCATTAAAGAAATTTATAAAAATTATGTTTGCATTGTTAATAGAGGTATGCAAAAGTTTCCATCGTTCACGTATATATAGCATTGTGAATTATTTACATAAAAATTGCGACGTATGCTTGTTAGATTATGTCAATATTGGTCAATCTGCATAGAAACTAATGCATAATAAGTCATATTTATCGACATAAACATTTTTAATTCGTATGAAAATGGGAGTCGATGAGACGCATATTCGTCATTGTATGCTTTTTTTATTTCATATGTACAAAACAGCTGCCGAAGCAACCAAGATCATTTGCGAAACTTATGGTAAGGAAACGATAGCTGAAAATTCATGTTGTGAGTAGTTTCGGCGCTTTAAAAGTGGCAATTTTTGAAAGACAACTTGAAAGACAAGGAGCATGCTGAGCGACCGCGAGAGATGAGTTCAGATGACTTGAAAGCGTTATTACAAGAAGATTCGACTCAATCGAATATAGAACTTGCGAAAAAGTTACATGTTAATCAAAGCACTATAATAGTAATTTGACGCTTGCATGAGATGGGGAAAATTCAGAAGGAAGGAAAATATTACATATTACATATTACAAAAAAAGAAATAGTAATTTTTTTCATATTATTTTTTCTATTATATTATAAATATTGTTGAATGTATTTTTTATGTACAGGGTGTCCCATTTAACCTGACAAATCGTAATATCTGGAAAACTACATGTCGGATCAAAAAAAGTGGGTAATGAAATTTGTTCGCCTCGAAGGGGGACATCCAATAATATCAAACTCGATCTCCCACCCCACTCCCGGGGGGTGGAGGTTGGGGGCAACTTTGAAATCTTAAATGGGAACCCCAATTTTTTATTGCAGATTCGGATTCTACGCCACAAAATACATAAGTTTCGTTGGAAACTTTTTTTTTGATTCATGATAGATGGCGCTATAATCGCAAAAAATTAGATTTTCTGCAATTCTCCAGAAATGATCATTGGATTGAAAAATAAAAAAATACCTGTTCAATATTTCTAAAATTAAAAATATTTTTAAAAAACATAACAGTTATTCCCCTCCATGAGAAGCGAGGGGACTCACCTAAAACAAGCACCCCGATGGTGAGAGGCGAGGGGACTCACCGAAAACAAGCACCCTGATGGTGAGAGACGAGGGGACTCACCTAAAACAAGCACCCCGATGGTGAGAGGCGAGGGGACTCACCTAAAACAAGCACCCCGAAGGGAACAGAAAGCTACTACGTCCTCGTCGTTGTTCCTGGGTAACGCTAAAAGTAGTTTCTCGGAAAAATTCAACGCTATCTATCACGAATGAAAAAAATTGTTTCCATAAAAACTTCACGTAAAATCTAATTCTGCAATGAAAATGTGGGTTCTCATTTGAGATTTGAACGTTATCACCCACCCTCCCCCGAGGGAATGGGGAGGAATAACTGTTATTATGTTTTTTTAAAAATATTTTAAAAAATATTGAACAGGTATTTTTTTATTTTTCAATCTAATAATCATTTCTGAAGAATTGCAGAAAATCTAATTTTTTGCGATTACAGCGCCATCTATCACGAATCAAAAAAAGGGGTTTCGGACGAAACTTACGTATTTTGTGGCGTAGAATCCGAATCTGCAATAAAAAATTGGGGTTCCCATTTAAGATTTAAAAGTTGCCCCCCACCCCCACCCCCCGGGAGTGGGGTGGGAGGTCGAGTTTGATATCATTGGATGTCCCCCTTCGAGACGAACAAATTTCATTACCCACTTTTTTTGATCCGACATGTAGTTTTCCAGATATTACGATTTGTCAGGTTAAATGGGACACCCTGTATACAAAGTGTATAAAAAGTCCCGGGATCTTTGAATATCTCAGAGGAGTTACGTTTTAGAAAAAAATGTTAAATATGAATGTTGTAGGGTTTCAAGAGGTCTATCTATTAGTTAATCTATCTTATCAGCTTGACCTTGAGTGACGTTGTTAATTTGATGATTCTGAAATTTTCAGAAGTCGATAAGTTAACAAAAGGTAAGGTATTATTGTAACAATATATTTTTGAGACGAAATAGAGTAAAAAAGTTTAATACTGTTTTTCCTTCCGATAAATAGTTAGTGAGATATCGTAAGTTAAATATTGAAAAAGTTACCGAGTTTTCCTTAAATAACTCAAAAAATATTAGGCAAATAAAAAAATGTTTCAGACAAAAGTTATTAAAATTAATTGGTAGAAAAAAAATAATATAATAAAAAATGGGGGTTTTCATTTTAAAAAATTAAGTTGACCTTGACCTAACCTTGGCAACGCCAATCAAGGTAAAATTGATAAGACTAATAAATAGATTTCTTGAAACCCTATAACATTCATATTTAACATTTTTTTTTCTAAAACGTAACCCCTTTGATATATTTAGGGTTCCCGGGACTTTTTATATATTCTGCATATTTCCAAATGCTAAGTTCAGTAAATTAAAAACATGTAAACAGTATGTGTGTGCGTATTTTTATAGTTTATATTTTCTAATTTTTTAAGTTCTTGTAAAATTTTATTGTGTTTCAACTGTAAAATTAAATTTCCTTTCTTCTCAGGCTTCACTTTGTTTTCTTTCGTAAAATACATAGGTCACTAGCTAAGTTTTGCAATACACTAATCATTTTCAGCGCAGTAATTTTCCTTAAATTTAGCATCGCTGAATAGTATGCTTCAATAGAAGAACACATGCTACATTTGCTTAGTCTAAGTCAAAAAGTTTATTTGTATGCTGTATACGTTTAAATATTATGAATATAGCGATTTGATCCAGAGACGAAATTCGAATGATTTTAAAGTATAATTTTGTGAGAAGATTGTCAATCGATGAGTACATGGGTGAACTGTAAAATGTTCTGGTCGACGATTGTCCTCATCAAACAGTCGTGTTTCATTGGTATCGAGAGTTTCTACACGGAAATTTTTCCACTGACGACATACCGCGTTCAAGCCGTCCGATCGATGTGGTGATTCTCGATGTCGAAAAAGTAAAAAAATCGAATTGCTGAAAACAAGCAACTAACCTATCGACAGATTGAAGAAACATTGGTGATTAGTATACCAAATTTTAAATGAACATTTAAAAGTATGGAAGTCTCATTCTAGGTTCTTCAATCGGTCACAACAAAATACTCGTAAATTGCATGTAGAATGATTTGGTGCACAAAGATGCTAAAAGACTCGGCACAAAAACGGAGCTCAGCGGTATCTAAACAACTGCGTTGCGGGTGACGAAACCTAGCTATATGATTACGACCTGAGATCAAAGCATAACAATTAAGAATGGTTCTATGAAAATGAAGAAACTTTTAGCGAAGGTGTGAAAAACGTGATCGATAAGGAAGAAGATGATCGTGATATTTTTTATACCATGCACTAGACGTGTGCAGATCTATCGGAAAGTGGCAGCAAATGTTTACCGACTGGTTTACTCGTATGAAGAAATGTAAAGATGGTACATGGACTAAGGAATAGAGGAATAGAATCTGAAAGCATTATTTGGGCGAGAGGGATATAAATTCAGACATGCGGGGAATTGCTTTCCGCCATATTAGTTTCTACCAATTCACACATAGACATGTGTTTGTGAAATGTTGTGACTAAGAGGTTAGGTGTATATAAATTATGAAAATTAATATTTTATAGGAAAATGGTTAAATATATAGTGCCAGAGTGTCCAATAACGGAGTATATAAGATAAAATATCTAAATATTTAAATATCTAAATATTTAAATAATTACAAATTAGAAATTCTAAAATAATTAAAAATATTTAAAGATTCGTTATATTGTATTTTTATTTATTAAAACGTATTAAATGAAAATGTTGAATGTAAAACAATATATAATACGATTTTTTATAATTTTATGAGCGATATTTTTATATAAGTTTCATATTTAAAATTGTCTTCAATTTATTTTCAGATACTTCCTAGCAAATAAAACTATCCGTATAGCGTCTAAAAATTAACTTAATTATACTAAAATATAAGATCCGACTGTAAGCACCGGTTTAAATTTTATTTTGAAGCTGCGGTCTACTTGATGCTACAAATGCATTGAAGCGTTAAATAGACCGCAATAGAAGAAATGAATATAGCGACACTCCCTCCTCCGCTGTGACATGTTACTCAGCTATAGCTTGTACTTCGTCTCCCTATTCCTTAGTCCATGAGATGGTAGTGGAGATTTTGAACGAAATAAATTAAGAGAGCTGTATTGCGAAACTTATCTAGTGATCTACGTAGAAACGTATCTTTACAAGCGACTCATCTTTGCGTGATTTGATATTTTATAGTTTTGCACAATACATCCTTTTCAAATTGCTATTACTAGAAACATCCGTTTCTTTGTATGGTTTTCAGGCATTACACTTGGTTCGTACATTAAGTACTACGAGGCAGCTACATATGACACTGCAGCCTTGAGACGACATCGCAATCGGATACGTCGTGATGTTGCCGATCCTGTTGACGAGCAACCATTGATTTTACATTTGAAGACACATGGGAGGTGAGTTTCATAAGCAAACTTGTTTGTTCACTTTATCATCCGTTGGTATATATGTTACCGTTAATGTATGAAATTAAGCATTGTATATCTAGGAAGTTAAGCATAGAATATCTAGGAAATTTATAGAATGCCGAAAACAAGATGTCAAAGTATAAAACATTTAATATTTCATACATTTCCTAGGCATTCTATGCCAAAAGATAAACCGGCAATGTATAAAATACTCTCGCGCTAGTGATGTTTTTATTGTCATGTGGCGAGGCACGATGTGATTTTCGACGCACGGAATGCTTTTTCGATCAGCTATTATATACTCTAGTCTACCGGAAGCGGTCAAACTCTTATAATCGTCTTTGAACTATTATCGTAAATATAAAAAAAGTATAATTGTAAATAATAGCAATCATATATTGAAATTAGAGTTTTCAAGAATAAATATACATTGTACTTTCTTTTTGTTTGATTTTCAGTTTTTATAAGTCAACATAAAATATTTGATTACTTATTATAAAAAAATAAATTAACCTTTGCAAGTAGGACAAAAATATTTTTTTTATACGGTTGCTGACACCAGCATACTTTTTATGAACCTACATATAAAACACTGTATCATATCTCCAACAGCATATTTATTACATATTTTGCACTTTCTTTGCTTGATATCAATATCTTCTGATTTACTGTTTTAACGAGCTGTTTTGATGTTTTTTTTTATTGTTTCTTTTTCTATTTTTATTTTTCTTTGGTTCTGATGATATTAGATTTATGTATGAATTTTCGATCAACCCTATAGCCTGTTGATTCTTACAATTTCGTATACATAACTCTCTTATTGTATTTATTGCATCTGATGTTATTTGCGTGATATGAAATGGGAAGCTAGTACTTGGTGTTGTTTCATTAGTTTTAGATTGAGCAAGTTGAGCACGTGAAGCTTTTGAAGGAGTTGAATTGATAGATAATTTATTGAATATTATACAGCGCGGTGTGTGGAAGACACCATACTATTGCGGAGCAAGAAACGTATCTGGACATTAATAAATATTTAAAACTGTAATGTCTCTATACATCTCTCTATATATGTATATATATAATATGTCAAACTGAAAAAACAGCTCGTTCTACTATTGACGTCTTGTGTTATCCGTAATTCCGAGAAGCTTTGTAGACTTACGTTTTCTGACCGCTATAAATGGAATATTTTGTATAGAAGCTCTGACTTGCATGAACATTATATGTTATATTTATAATGTATGTTTATTAACTTGGTGATTAATTTTATATGCCTTCATTAATTTAACAATACGTTAATATTTCTTACATAAATTGATATTATGTTATTTATTATAAAAATTAACATTAATTCCCTCCTCCATTTTTCTGATAAAATGATTAGCCCTATCAGTATTCCACTTCTATTAGCTTTCCTTGTTCTTCTTGTTTCTTCTTCTACTCCGGCTTTGCTTTGTTTTTAATATATTCTGGGAGAAGCTTGAGGCCATTCCGTAAAGTTTGCACGAAATGTATTTTTCGATGCGCCCTTTGACAAAATGTATAAATTATATCCATTTTTCGTAAAGTCGCTTGGGAGGGAAGGTTCGTATCCAATCTACTTCCATACAATGATAATAAGTTAAAAAGAACGGCAATCATTCATCTTGTCTTTATTTCACCACTGATGAGCAGTCACGCGACGATAGATACAAGATGAACTAACAGCAATTTTATAGCTAAACTTATAGTTAAGCAAACATCCTTACCAAGTCTCAATTGTCCAGCTATTCATGCGTTGCTACAATTTTCCTTATCTGTAATCTGGGAAGAAAATGATTTCAAGGCTTCATACGATTTCTGGCAATAATGTAACAAAGCTAACAGCCATTCACTTTTGATAAATGTTACATTTGCTTATATAGAGTGTCTTATAACTCAGTATGAGGAACTCATGGAGACATAGGATAGCTTAAGACAAACATAAAAATCCCATACCGTTTTGCGATATTCGCAATAATTATTAATGTTATTAATGACAGAAATCTGACGAGTAAGCGCACGCCGAGATGATTGGAGAAGCGTTGCAGCCGCTCGGGTCACAATGTAGCCCAGTCGATTTAGCAACCATTGTCGGCGTGCAGCGAGACGTAGGAACGACGAGTAGGAGATAAGACGAATAACAGAGTGTTGTCCTTCATTTCGCCACGCGCCGGCAACTGTTGCTAGATCGACTAATTGTGAGCCAAGCGGCTGCAATACTTCTTCAATCATCCATCTCGGCGCGCGCTCACTCATCAGATTTCTGTCATTAATAACTGGATATAATTATTGCGAATATCGTAAAATGATATAAAACTTTTATGTTCTGTCTTAATCTGTGCTATGTCTCCATAAATTTCTCGTATTGAGTTATGGGACACTTTAGATACACATGATCTTACTAGATGCGTAACTAAGTTTCCGGGTTTCTTTGATCAATGAAAAATGGAAAATTTCAAGAGAAATACAAAAAATGGTTTATTCAAAGTATCGTCCCTCACTAGCTACATATTTTTGCCATCTCTCTGGCAATACATGAATACCGTGACGATAAAACGACGCGTCTTTGGACCGAAACCATTTATCCAACCAATTTTGCACTTCTTCGAAATTGGCCAAGTGTTGCCCAGTCAAACCATGCGCCATCGACCGGAACAAGTGATAATCGGAAGGGGCCAGATCTGGCGAATACGGCGGGTGCGGTAGCAGATCCCATTTCAGCGTTTTGATGGTGTCCTGGGCGATGGAAATGCGATGGCACGGAGCGTTGTCGTGCTGCAATATCACTCGTTCATGTCTCGTGTCCCATTCTGGCCGTTTTTCGGGCAATGCATGGTTCAAATTGATCAGTTGTTGTCGGTAGCGATGCCCATTGACAGTTTCGCCCGCTCATTCAGCAGCTCATAGTACACGATTCCTTTCTGGTCCCTCCAAACACAGAGCATTGTCTTCTTTCCGAAGCGATTTGGCCGTGCTGTCGATGTTGATGCTTCGCCAGGTGAAAGTCACGTTTTTTTGCGTTTGGGATTCTCGAAATATATCCACTTCTCATCGCCAGTAACAACTCAATGCAGGAAATTTTCTTTCTTTCTTTCATGCCGCAAAAGCAAAATTTCGGAAATGGCTCTTCAATTTTCCATCTGTCTCTCAGTCAACTCATGCGGCACCCATTTTCCTTCCTTTTGAATTTTTCCCATGGCATGTAAACGTTTGGAAATACCTTGGCGAGTCATGTTTAATGCCGCTCCGCAAGTTGATCTTGTGTTTGCGTATCATCTTCATCCAATAACGCTTGCAGATCGGCGTCCTCAATTGTTTTTGGTCTTCCGGAGCGCTCCTTGTCCTCAGTGTCGAAATCGCCACTTCTGAAGCGTTTAAACCAATTTTCACAGGTAGTTTTCGATGGTGCATGTTCGCCGTAGACCTCCTCAAGCAAACGGCGTGCTTCAGCTGCACTTTTTTTCAAGTTAAAGCAGAAAAGCAAAGCTTCCCGCAAATGCTGTTTATTTGGCACAAAACTCGACATCTTCCTTGTTAGAGAAAATATTTTTGCGTTGCGGTATGTGTTGGTATTACGACTGGTTATTGTTAACAGATGTCCAAGCTATAAAAAAAGCACAACTTCAGACATGTATGTCGACTACATGTGTCGTTAGCGCCATTCATATGTGAAACCCGGAAACTTAGTTGTGCACCTAGTATGTGTGTAATTAATGTGGATAATTACGCGCGTGTTTTAACATTACGCAATGGTAAATGATATCAAGCAAACACAATAAAATAATGCTTAATAGAATAATGAAACATGTTCGTCAAATGCATCGGTCAAATATAAGTACAGAACAGACTCAATAATTTTCTATTCTTCTCGTACATGCTCTCCCGTCCGAACTTTTTCGCCCATGCTCTTCCGCCTCTCTCTCTTTCTCTCTTTTCTTCTCTCTCTCCCTTCTCCTCTCCTCTTCCTCCCTCCTCTTAACCTTTTCTTCCACCCCTTTCACCCTCTCTTCTTCTCACCCCCTTCTCCTGTCGTACCTCCTCTCTCTCTCACTGTCTCTCCCTCTCCCTCTCTTTCTCCCAAAAATTAATAGAAATATTGCAATGAATCAGGATAGTAATTATTTTGGAGAATTTTTTCCAGCAGAAGGAAAAGTTCGAGGTCAGTGCTATTTTTCGTATTTTGACGAATGAGTTTGAATATTAAATATAATATTAAATGTTCACATAAAAACACCTAGTTTAGTTTGCAGAATTTTACAGAAGCTGGTAAATATTATGAAAGGCTGCAAGTTTTAATTCGAGTCTCAGCTAAAAATTGTTTTAGCCGAAATTCAAACTACCATTTTAGGTAATGAAAAAATGTATCGGTTTATACAAAAATTTTGTCATGATTAAAACAGTATATTTTTGGGATTTTGGAATTTCATCCGATAATACATTACTGAATAATGTAAGATGGTACCACCTCCGCATTCTTTCCATTATCAAGTATTGCAAGAAAATTGGTCTCGCCGCACGCCGACAACAGTTGTGGGATCGACTGGGTCGCATTAAGCCCGAACGGTTCTTTCAAGACCATATCAATGTGCACTCACTCGTCAGAGTTTTGTCATTAATAACTCGATAATTATTGCGAATATCACAAAACGATATGGAACTTTTATATGATTATCTTAATCCGTTGTCTTTACGAATTTCTCATATTAAGTTATGGGACATTTCATATATAAGCTCCAGCATTTTGCATGACATTTTAGCTTGTACAAGGATACATACAAAATAATGGAAATAGTAAAAGTTCGGCAAATCTCTTTTTTTGTTATCTACATGTTATTATCAGATTATTTATTTTCTACTTAAATTATCTAAGCTATGAGGATTATATTATTATTGCAATGCGTGTGAAAGGTCAATAATTTACTCACAATTAACTCGCAAAATATCTGTTCTTACTTGCCACTTTATAATTATATTTTTACAGATCCTGGACAATACGCTTAGTTCACGATGCGAATTTATTCAGTAAGGATGTATCGTTTGAAGGTACGAACGGGCCAATATCCTTCGACACATCGCATTCTTACACCGGTACCGTTCTAGGTAAGTTTAATATTGAATGTTCCGCTTAACAACACACACATATTTGTAATGACACATAACGTATAAATGTTATATCACTTAACCATTATATCAACTCTTCTTTTAGACCAACCTATACTTTTATATATAATATAGAATTAGTATATTTTTTTGTATTTTTGTTCATATTTGTTAGTACTATATTGTCATATCTAAGACGGAAATTGCTCGTATTATATTAATAATGCGTCCTCGGGACATGCGTATTGAAATTAACGGACAATTTCGTGCGTAACAAGACTTTAAATCACGATTATTGCAATAATCCAATAATCTCAAAGTTTGCCGTATCAAAATCATGTAGTCGGCATAATATACGTCGTTTTACAAGAAAATTGTCAGAACTGTTCCTCACTGATTTTGATAGGCTTTGGATATGTTGTAGAGTATTGAAAAATATTCGATTCGTATCTCTTTAGCGGCGTATTTCAACGTTTAACGACAGAAACAATCTCTCGAAAAAACACTTTTCGCGGTCATGCTATACTCAATCGCCAATTTATCTGATCTCGGCGAATATACCGAGGTAGCAGCGAATACGCCCGGATCTGTCAAACGGATAATACACGGAGCCTTGGAAAGCGCTAAGAAATGGTGTTTTTCCCGCGTTTTGCTGTCTGAGTTTGATACTCTTTTCTCGGTTTTCTCGGTATCCGTATCGCTTCATACTTACAGGGCGGGAATGTTCTCAGAGTGCGGTGCTAGCTTTACTTCCGGTAGCTGCTTGCTCTAGTATCGCCTCTCGGATCTGGATTCTCTCTCGGATCTCTCAAAATCCTCGCATCTGATGAATCTATGAAATCTGATCTCTGTCATCGAGTTCGCGATCTTTTATATTGGTTCGATTATTGATTCGGTGATTGTCGCTAACTTGATCGGTTATCTTCGATTGCTCTCGAAAATAGACGGATATGCCTCGGTTCGGTGCGTATTCGGTGACGGCTGATGACTCCCGAATGTCGGTAAGCCGGCATTCGGGAATAGTCGTCGGTTACGGCCGATTGTACCGCGTGCGCGATGGGCGGCGCGGGCACGGGGGAGATGCGGCGGCATTCAACCGTTTCATAACGGACTGTCAGTCGTGGTTTGTTGTCTTTTCTCGTAATGATCAAAATAATTTGATCTTTACATTACACCTTCCCCCTTTCAGTACGGGTTATTGTTGAATTACAACGGCGGTGAAAATTGGCGCTTCGTAAGCAACCATTTTGATGGAACCATAGATTTCACCGTCCGCCTGCGGTGGTCAACCGGTATCGACGGGAGATTATTACAGCAAAATAGGGAATCTTCGCTGTCTGCCCGGTGGGTAGAGTTACGATGATGGGCGGCGGAAGATCGGGCCCGTAGGTTAGGAGCGGTGCTGGCTGATCCTCCTTCTTTTCGTCTGCCTCTCGTTGGATTGTTATCCGGGTGGTCGGTGTCATTATTTCCCCGACTCGCGGGGTCGCTTTTGCCGGTGATGCTGGCTTCTCCGGGGATTTCTCGACGGCGGTGACTACCGGAGCTGGTGTGCCTCTCTGTACTCCGGCTGGCTTGTCCTTGACGGCGGTGGTCAAGGAAGCGGGCGCGAGCCGGATCGGTGGCCGCGCGAGGCAGCAGAATGGCCCGCATCCAAGTCGTGGCGATAGTGGTACCATCAGCATCTCCGATTTTTGTTGGATCGCCGCGTCCTTATTCTTATCTTAGCATCTTAGCGCTGGTGGACGCGGCCGCTTTCGTCGCTCCTTCGATGGTGATGCGGCTCAATGGAGCCAGCGGCGGCAGTTCCGTCGTGTTTAGTCGCGGCGCCGCGTCTTTCCGGGATTTCTCGTCGGCGGCCTCTGTGGATGGTGGCGTCTCCGGATCCTCGAGCAGCTGCTCCCACATGATGGCGGCTTCATCATCCCCAGCAATTCTACATCGTCTAATTCTTCGATGTAATCTCCGAGCTCCATAGCGAATCTCTCCTAACGTTGGTTCGGCTGGCGATTATATATGCTCCCTTTCGGTGGATTCGAAAGCTTTCGGTCGTTGGAAATTTGATTTTGGGACGAGTTATTACCTTATTTGGTTCTATTGTCATATACTTACCCGATGTTTATTGTTTGTCCTCTGTGGAAACTAGTCGCAGGTCGCGTATGTGTATATGTCGATATTATGTACCACGCGTATTACGGAGATCGACTATTACCAGGGAAATTATCTTTTTAACGGTCATCGGTTCTATATATTTTGGTGCTAACTGGACGTTAAATGCCTTTGCTTTATCGGAGAATGAATATTCCTGTTTCTAGATCATGTCTCCCAAGCGCGATCGCCACGCGCAGATTGTAATGCGGTTTTTGTTGATGAAATGCTTGAGCTAAATGTAATTTTACCAACTCGTAAGTTTCTTGTAGCAATTTACTGGTTTTTTTGCGTATCTGCTGTTATTTTGAGATTGTTTCGGTCAGCTAGGTGCGGTCGCATTAATTCGCTTAAATTCCACAATTTAAGAACGCCGGGCTGAATTGCGTGGCGTTATGCTTTGCGGTATTATATGCGAAACGTAATACAGTCAGGTATTCGTCCCAACAGTGATATCGGTTATTTATCATTGTTTTGATGGTTCGTTCGACAGGATTGCACTGCAGTGTGTATACGGAGGTGATACAATGGCGGATCTCGAATTCTTTGAGCATCGTTTGAAATTCTTTGGATTTCTGTATGCCATTGTTGGAGACGATTATTGATGGGTAACAGTATCGGTAAGGTAAACGATGAGGTCGGTAGAGCTGTTAATAATAGCTTGCGTGGTGGCTGCTTGCCGTAGGGACTTCAACTCTAATCATTTTGAAAATTGGTTTTGCGTGGTTAGTAGTCATGTGCGTCCTTGACTTGAGCGAGACAGAGGTCCAATCAGGTCGATCCTTACCTGCTCCCAAGGTTGGTTTATGGCGGTGGCGTGAAGTAGTCTGGCTGGTTTCTACTGACTGGTTTTATGAGTTATACATGTCTGGCATCATCGAACATATTGTGCGATGTTACAGGCCATATCAAGTCAATAATAACTTTCTGCGATACGAACTATAGTTTTCGCTATTTCTAAATGTCCGGCGTCGGGTGTGTTGTGGTGTCGTCTCATGATCTCCGAACATTCGTTCGTCGGGGCGCATTTCTCTCATTGTATCTCAGTCGGTATTTCTCAGAAGTTTAGACTGTGGAGAAAATGGCGATACAGTTTCCCGTCTCGAATCATCAGGAAACTCCTGCGGTTTAGTAGTCGCTTGTTCTTTTAACCGTTGGTACCAGACACAGTTCCAGTTCCAGATTTGGTTATTCATTCTTCGGATTCCCGAGATAAGGCGTTAACGACCTGATTCTGCGCGCCTCTCCGATATTTGATGTCGAAGGAATATTACTACAAATTGAATTTTATTATCCGAGGCATTTAGCTGCCTCCAAGCGCTTCAGCCATTACAGGGACTGATGGTCAGTCAGCACGATGGAAGTGTATTTTTCTAGATACTTGCGCATGTGGCGGATGCCCCACATGACTGCGAGGAATTCAAGTTTGGTGGCGCTATAATTTTTTTCGGCGCTGTTCAGGGTTCTCCTAGCGTAGGCAATTATTCGTTCACCTTCTTCCAGATGCTGAGTCAAATGTTTGTGAAGTTAGCACGTTTTGTGAATTGATAAAAAATACTCATTGTTCTAGTAGCACTTTTCATTACTCTGCTGTTCTTCAAAAAACGAAAAAATGTTCCGTATGCATAATACCAAAAAACCGAAAATTAAGATGTGTCGTGCTAACTTCGCGTTTCAGCACGACACTTGTCCCTCTGAAGTACAAGAGTACGACAAATATTATGATATCTGACGATTATTTTAGCTAATTGTGTGTAAGTTTAGTGTAAATAGAGCATTTTAGAACAAAATGCCAAAAATTAACCAAAAAAGCCGAAAATTAAGAAATGTCATGCTAACTTCGCATTCTAGCACAACATTCCTCCCTCTAAAATACAAGAAACAGATAAATAATAAGTTTATTCGACTCGAGCTCTATATAATTCAACTATTTAAGCATTGTTTTGTTATATAAGTATTTCTAAATTAATTTTGACTTTTTTTGGCGCCGGCATGACATTCGACGAAAATGTCTTGTGCTATTATAATATATAATATACGTATTGTGCTATTATAATATATAATATTATATATTTGGGTTGGCAAGTAAGTTCGTTCGGTTTTTTAGAGTAGAATAAAACACAATTTTTTGATACACAAGATAAATTTTAATCAATTATATATTGGCCATCTTTATCGATGACCTCTAGCCATATTTTCACCATCTTCATTATACTGCGTTCGTAAAACATCTGGGGCTTATCGGCGAAAAACCAATCCAGGTGGTTTTTAACGGCCTTTTCATCCTTGAAGGTTTTCCTGTTCATAGAGTTCTGCAGCGACCGGAATAAACGATAATCGGAAGGGGCAAGATCTGGTGAATACGGAGGATGAGGCAAAACATTCAAGCCAAACTGAAGCAGTTTGTTCCGAGTGGTCAATGACGTATGAGGTCTGGCATTGTTGTAATGGAAGACGACACCCTTGCGATTTGCCAATTCTAGACGTTTTGTGCGGATTGCTTGGTTCAATTTCGTCAATTGCGAACAGTATACAGTTGAATCAATCGTTTTGCCTGACGGTAACAGTTCGTAATAGATTACACCCTTGAAATCCCACCACACGGAGAGCATTATTTCCTTCGGATGCAATCTCGCCTTCGAGGTTGTTTGCGGTGGCTCGCTGCTGTGCTCCCATGTAATCTTTTACGCGTTACATTATCGTAGACGACCCATTTTTCGTCACCCGTCACCATTCGTTTAAAAAATGGGTTGTTTTCTTGGCGTTTCCGTAGCGAATCGCAGATGGATATGCGTGTGATCAAGTTAGCCTCGGTTAATCGTTGTAACACCCAAACATTAAGCCGAGAAACG